TGGGCACCTCGAGAAGGCAGGGGGTGTCTTGGTAATGAGAGGCTATATTTTGCGCGTCAATTATCCTTGCCCACCGTATTGCAGGCTACGTCTGCTGATCACTGGCTGCCAGCAGTTTAGGTCTCACTGGCTCAAGGTTGACTCAGCCTTCTATCCTTCAGAGGTCCGTAAATGAAAACTGATTGTTGGGGTCAATATGCTGACTCTGCAAACTGCTTAGAGAGGGCTGTAAAAGCACTGTGAAACAGTATATAAGTCTTATTGCTATTTTTCACACTTATGACCGCTACAGCATCCCCATGGTCATGTGATTTACATTCAGATGCCTGACAACTGACTCACAGTTGCAGTGTCCTGGGGTCATGTTTATCTCCATTTTATCACCTTTTGCAACCTTCTAACAAGCAAAGTCAATGGGGAAACCAGATTCACTTAACAACTGTTACTAATTTAACTGCAGTGGTTCACTTAACAAACAAGAAAAATTGTAAAATAGGGCAAAACTCAGTTAACAACTTTCTCATTTAGTGACATAAATTTTGGCCTCAATTATGGTCATAAGTTGAAGACTACCTGTATTTGTTAACTCATTCTACTTCTCTTTTAAATATACTTAGAATATAAATGAATATCTTTTCAATCCTTTTTCATGCTTTCATTTTTTGGATTTCCAGATCGTTTGTCTGTATCCTATTCACGGAGCAGTGGCCCAGGAGGTCAGAATGTGAATAAAGGTAAAAACAAAACAAAGACTGAGTACATATACATGTATTTCTTGAGAACAAATCCCATTGACATTAATGAGACTTCCTACAATAAAATTAAGGTACAGATTTTGGAGTTGAGCAGCGTAGAAATTTGACAAATATGATCAAGTATTCATGAGCAGCAAACTTATCAATAAATTGGGAGGAAAAAGTAGGCCCTTCTAAGCTGCATAACTCTTTATCCTGCAGAGTTGTTATTTATTGCTTCTTTTCACACCCAGTGAATTCAAAAGCAGAAGTCCGGTTCCATTTGGCATCAGCAGACTGGATCTCTGAAGAAGTGCGACAAAAAATGGCAATGCTGGTAATTCTCAAAATTTATTTTCCCCTTTTGAGATAGATTGTTAAGTAGCATACACTTAGTTTACCAATTTCCTGCAAAAATTCCTGCACAAAAATTCCTACATAAAAAATATAGATCATCCAGAGGGACCCTTTTAGGTTGTGTAGCAAAATTAAAATCCATAAACATATAACATCAGAAGATGGATCTTAAAAATTGCTTTATCTCATTATGAGATTGAAATTCTTTTTTTTATAAGCACTCTGACATTGTAAATAAAAGCCTGGTAAAAGACATGATGTTAGGGACCATTGAAAATAGGAGGCATTTTCTAGATGATAATTCTGTCAATTAAATTCTTTATATGATTGTTTATTTCTCTCCTTAGTTCAAAAACTCAGGATTATATAAGAATATGTGGTTATATGCAAGATTGTATTACTTCTTTATTTCCTTTTATCTCAAAGAATGACTGGCCGGCTACAATTTAGCAGACAAGTCCCAGTGTCAAAGAACTGCTTTAAATGGTTTCAGGTAGAAATTGGGGGCACAATATTTCTATATAAGAAGGTCTAACCCCAAGTTTTCAAACAAAATAAAGTATTTGTTGTTAGACGAAAATATAATTTGTCTACAAATATAGGGAGTGATTTAACCCTTTAACCCTTAATTTTGGCTTAGAGGAATCATAAAATCATCATTATTGTGAATCATTATGTAATTTTAACCACTACAGTTAACGTGTGACTTTAAAAATCATATTTTGATAGAAGAAACATGTTTTATTTTCCAGAGAATAAAAAGTTATATAAATATGCTCCCTCTTTAAGGGAGATGGGAGTTTAGAACTATGAAAAATAAATACAATAAATAATAAAATGTTTTATTTCCCAGCAAAAACTTAAGATCAATAAATTGGGAGAGCTAATAATAACTTCTGAAGTGAGTCGCTATCAGATGAGGAATTTGGCAGACTGTCTACAAAAGATCAGGAACATGATTGCAGAATCCACTGTGAGTCCTCATGTTATATCTGAAGAAACTGCTGAGATGATCAGAAACAGGTAAATCTGAGACAAAAATAACAGGACTGAATTAGAATTCCTTTGGACATAAGAATATGATGCATATACACCAGAATTCTCAGTTGATGCTCCCTTAGGTCAAGATGGAGCCATTTGTAATTAAAACAAGAACTTCTTCTCTCTCATTATTCAGCATACTTACCACATTAGGCAGTTTAAGAAAACACTTGCTTAACACTTGCATTATTCTTAATGTCCCTACTCACTGAGTATCTACAGTTTAATACATCATAATAAATAAGACAGTCTAGTTCTTTATTTTTCTTAATTTCACTTAGGGAAGCAAAGACAACATTTGTTAATTTCGGATGGCACATCATGGATCAACATGAACATTCTACATTTAAAATGCTGAATAATCTAGATGGACGTTGTACCTTTACTAATGAATGGGGAAGTAATTCACTAACTTTGCTCACTTCAGATTCAACAGCTCCCTCTAAACCAACACATTTTCTTTCTTGAAGTTTAACTTGTAAATTGTTATGTTGTTGTGATATGTGTTATATTTGTAACTTCCAAGGGAGAGGCAGATTTTCCCTTATCACATGCCTCTAAAGTTCCTGCTTCTTGAAAGAATGTAGATTTACAGATTTTAGTTTTCTTTTATGACTCTTGTATATTTTTGTAATTGACCAGAATAGGCTGTGTGATTTCTATGTCTTATGCCCCACAGTTAACAAGGGGGGGCATCCCCTACCCAAGTAAAGAGTTACAACAAAAATTGCTACAAAGTACTGTCCTAGAGGTTTCTGGGAAATGAAGGATAGAAACTCTTCACAATCCATCCTATGGAATCAGCTCTGTCCATTACAATGTTATTTTATGAACATTTGGTCTAGATTCTAGAAGAAGGGTAAAAATCCAGAATTACTTTAGAACCACTTAAATGTCATTTTCTATATCTGTTTGGCTTTAGGGTGGAGAAGAGGAACAGAGAACGCCTCCGACAAAAAAAAGCACGATCTTCTTTGAAGCAAAGTAGACAAGTGGACTATGACTGAACATCTTTTGGAGACATAAATAATGCAAAGACATATTTCTTGGACTCTTACTATTTCCTAGATGGAAATGAGAAACTTATTGTGTTCTTTACATTAAAATAAAAAAACCTATATCATCAAAATTTGCCCTTGAAACAGGAACGGATGTTTAATTACATTTATACTGTTGGTAATGGTGGCTGAATATATAGGTAGTCCTTGACTTACAACCACAATTGAGCCCAAAATTTCTGTTGCCAAGCAAGAGACAGTTATTTAGTGAGTTTTTCCTCATTTTATAATCTTTCTTGCCACAGTTATTAAATGAATCACTGCACTTGTTAAGTTAGGAACACAGTTGTTAAGTGAATCTGACTTCAACTTTGACTTAGTTGTCAGAAGGTAAAAGGTGATTACACGACCCTGAGACACTGCAACTTGTGAGTCAATTGCCAAGTACCTGAATTTTGATCATCTGACCATGGGGATGCTGCAATGATTGTGTGAAAAACGGTCATAAGACAATAAGTCATTAAATGAACTGTTATAAGTTAACTATCTGTATAGCTAATTGCAATATTAAAGTATACTCTTGTACAAGAAATGCTTCAAAATGTTTAGCTAGTAACTGCAGAAATCCCAGGAACTCTAAACCAGTGGTCCCCAACCTTTTTATCGCCGTGGACCAGTCAGCCTTTGATAATTTTACCGTGGCCCGCTGAGCACGTCG